AACTGCTGGAGGAATTCCTGTCCCTCCAGATGGAAATCTTGACAGAGCTGGGCTTACACTTCCGGTAGCAGGGGTGGGGGGTAGGAAGGGGGTACGCTGAGGTAGAGGGGGAGGGAAGGGAGGAAGGACTGGCCGGCATTCCCCCATCTTGAAAATCCTTACCACCCCTTCTTCCTCTGCCCCCGTTCCTGTCCCTGTTGGATAGAGGGTGTCGGCCTATAAAACCCCACTCAGGTGTACAGGTAGTAACAGCAGTGTAAGCAGCTGTTGCTCCCCACCCCTAGGGTGCAGGGACCATGGGAAGGGACGCAGGACAGGGCACCCCTTTTCTTTGAGGGGGTGGCTAACCCGTACTGCAAACCCCATTCCCACCGTCACCACGTCAGTCACACTGAGCTTTCGAGAGACGGTGAGAAAGGGGGGCTTTCTCCTGGGCAGCCTATTACAAAAACCGGGATGCTGTTAATGCGAGGTGAGAATGGCATGGTGGCTGGAGCAACCTGGGGGCTCAGCCACACAGCCCCCTCCCCCTGCAGCCCCTTTCCTTCTGGAACATGCTCTCCATCGCCACCTCCTACCCCTGTGCCACCGTGAGCGCCACCTTCTTTAATCCTCTGCCCTCTTATCGACTGCCTCATCCCTTCCACTCTGTCTGTGTCCTCCCCTCCCGCCCTCCACCCCTCTACCCTCACTGACCTCTGGCCATGGCCGCAGGGTCCTGGACATGCCCACCCAGGAGCTGGGCCTTCCCGCCTACCGCAAGTTTGACATCGAGGCCTGGATGCCTGGCCGCGGGTGCTTTGGTGAGGTGAGGCCCCGGTAGAGAAGGGGGACAGGTCTGCCCTCCACAGCTGACCCCCTCAGTCCACTCCACTGCCCCCCACTCCCCTCAGGTCACCAGTGCTTCCAACTGCACGGACTTCCAGAGCCGCCGCCTGCACATCATGTTCCAGACGGAGGCCGGGGAGCTGCAGTTCGCGCACACGGTGAGGCCACAGCCACGCTGCCTCCGCCCCTCCCCAGGCCGCGCCTGGGCCTGAGCATGCATCTCCCCCAGGTGAATGCCACGGCCTGTGCTGTCCCACGTCTGCTCATCGCCCTCCTGGAGAGCAATCAGCAAAAGGTGAGGGGCACAAGGAGCCCACTGGGAGAGGCAGTGGGCAGGGGCCGGGCAGCGACAGCCCTGAGACTGGCTCTGTCCCCAGGACGGCTCGGTCCTCGTGCCCCCTGCCCTCCAGCCCTACCTGGGCACTGAGCGGATCACGGCGCCCACCCACGTGCCCCTCCAGTACATTGGCCCCAACCAGCCCCAGAAGCCCAGGCTCCCGGGCCAGCTGCCTTGAACCGAGAACTCACCAGCCCGCGCATGGGCGCCGCTTCCTGGAGCTCCGGGACCCCGCACACCTGGGACCTGTCTTCCTGAGCCCGTCCTGACACCTGCAGTCCTCGGCGGGGCCATGGCTCTGGGACCCCCTCGCCTGCTTCCCCATGTCCTCAGTGCAGTCAGCGGCCCTGTTGTCGTGGGAAGCCCCAGCCTACACGGGGCAGTGGACGTCTGGGGACTTGAAAGTTCTGTGGATGGAGAGGAGGCGGGGAAGAGGCCTGTGACCCTTCTTCCTCTGCCCTCCTTGGGGGTGGGGCAGGAAGTCCCCAATAAATGATCAGAACAAAAGCCTTTGGGGGTCTGTGAGCAAGGGAGGTGCCTGGCAGGGCTGCCCAGCAGTCACTCAGGCGCTAAACCTGCCAGCGGTCTGCGGCCACAGGACGGTGGCTGGAAGCATCCAGAGCACATGGTGTGCGATTCACGGGCCTCTGGGACGGGGTACATCTGGCACTGGCCTGGTCCTCGCACCAGGTGGGGTGCTAGTAAGTGGCACAGACCCGTGGAAGCGAGAACTCGCTCTTGCTGGGGTGCGCCCATCAGCACACACCGCAGGCCACCCGTGCCCAGGTCACACCGCCTCTGGTCACGCATCCCTCACACCCACCTCTGGTCCGTCAGCAAATCCTGGCAGCTCCATCTTCAAAATATTTCCAGACGTTGCTCTCCAGGTCCCTGTCCCCGGGCCTGACCACTGAAGGCGCCGTCTAGCCAGTCCCATAGCCACTTCCTTCTCCCTACGCCCCTCCCCTGTCCCCAGCATACACATGAACCACAGGGACCCTGTGGACACCTGGCTCAGGGCCCTGCCCAGAGCCCTCCCATGACCTGTCTCACTCAGGACAGGGCAGTGTCTCCGTGGGCCACCAGGCCTGTGGGCCCTGCTCCCCACTGTGCTCTGGCCGCCCCACGTGCCTGGGGGTTCTGACACAGCGACCTCGCCAGGCCTCTGCACTTGCTGGGCCTCTCCAGCCTCTCGCCCTCCACCTGATGACTCAGGCCGTAGCCCAAATGTCACCTCCTCCGAGAGGACTTCCCTGACCACCCCAGCCTAGCGTGAAAGCCCCCGGCACTCAGTCTCTACACCCACACAGGCGAGACTCACCAGGCACCCGTCAGCTTGTGTGGATCTGAGTGTTGTCGCTCTCCCCCCTCACAAATAACTGCTCCGAAAAGGGCAAGAAAAGGGCAGGAAGTCCTCGGGGCTGTTCAAACAGCCATGGCCCCAGGGTGTAGAGGAGGGCCAGGCGTCAGGTAAGAAATGGCAGGACTGGAGAGATCCCAGCAGTGCAGTTAGCACGGGCACTGATCCCGCACTCAGCCTCGCCTCCTAAATGAGGAACAGGCTTAGGTTAGTCGCCCCAGGACTGAGCTGGTGGTGCCCAAGCTGGGACTCAGGCGGAGCCAGCTTCACCTGCTGAAGTGCGTCTATGAGCCCCATTTTCCAGATGGGGAAACTGGGACTGAGGTAGGGAGAGGGGCCTAAGGTGGATTTGTAAATGGTTGTCTGGATTCGAATCCAGACCTGCCTCCCAGAGCTTACTGAACTCATCAAACCCTGCTCCTCTGGGGAGAGAAAACCCCACCCTTCCTCCTCACAGACGCTCGGGGGCTGGGTGATGGAGGGGAGCGGACACCGGGTGTGGGGCCCCATGAATAATTGAGGGTCTCAGGCCTCCGCCTGGCAGCTGTCGCCCTGCCGCGGGCTGGGAGGGGGCGGCGCTGACGTCACTTCCTCCCCTGCGGGGTCTCCCGGCGCAGGTTATTAGGCGCTGCCGCCACTGTCCGCACATCGCTGGACCTGGTCAGGAAGCCCCAGCATGCAGGGCCGTGCACCCGCGTCCACGCTGCTCTTGCTGCCGCTGTCCCCGCTGCTGGCGCTGCTGCTGGGGGCCGGTGAGTGCTAGAAACCTAGAAACCGGGTCCTTGGAGCGGGTCCCCAGAGCAGGGACTTGGCTGACCCAGGGCTCTGCCCCAGGGGGTGAACTTCCAGGGGAGGGTGGTGCACCTGGTAGGTGAGCTGAAGGGCCCGTGTGGTGCTGGGGAGCCTTGGGTGGGTGGGTGGAATCAGCACCAGGGACAGCACCGGGGTCACGCCTGCACCCACCCCTTTCCTTCCCAGCCACTGCAGCTCCGCTGGCGCCGAGACCTTCCAGGGAGGAGGTGAGCGTGCACCCCTTACCCTGCCTCATCTCTCTGGGGCTGCCCCTGCCCAGCCCTCATGACCCTCATCTCCTCTTAACCTTCCAACTGCTCTCATTCGCCCGTCTGTTCCACCCTCAACCTCCCCTCTGACCCTTCGCCCCCAGCTGACCCGCTGTCTGGCAGAGGTGGTCACGGAAGTGCTGACGCTGGGCCAGGCTCAGCACGGCCCCTGCACGGCCCTCCTCCACAAAGGTAAAGCCGGCTCCTCATTCCTCTCCCAGCCCCCACCCCAGCCAGGGCCTGGAGGGAAGGGTGTCCTCTTACCCCCAACACCCTCTAGCCTGAGCCAGCACAGCCTTGCCCGGTGCCTGCAGTCTGATGGAGCCCAGGGCCAGCCTTACCCTGGGCGCTCCATATCGGGGTACAGGATGGGGGCAGAGACTGTCTCGCTGCCCTTAACTTTCCTATCTCAGCCCTGGGGCGTCCCTCTCTGGGACCTTGGGAAGACCCTGGAAATCCTCAAGATCTGTTTCTTGATTTGCTGCACAAAGCACCTCTCTCTTTGTGCCAGAGATGTGTGAGACAGGGCCCTCTGGCTGTGCGGCCAGCGAGGAGAAAGGCCTGCTGACTGGGGACTTCAAGCGGGAGTCTGGGAAGACAAGGTCCAGCCAGGAGGTGAGGGGTGAGGAGGCGGCGGCAGCGGAAAGGACCCACAAGTCTGAGGTGCGGGAACAGGCCGTCCGAGAGCAGCTGCACAGCCAGCTCCGTGAGGAAGAGGAGGAGGAGGAGGAAGAAAAGGAAGAAAAGAAGAGGCCCGTGGAGACCTTTGAGGGCCTGTGGAAGGAGCATCTGGAGGGCAGAGGGGGCCTCCAGAAGCGCGTGGCGGAGCAGGCCAGTGACGAGGAGACAGCCCGCTTCGAGGCAGAGGAGAAGGGGGTGCAGGTGCTGGGCGGGGGCCACCGCCTGTGGCCGGGGGCCGAGGGGGGCCGAGGAGAAAGGCACGAGGACGCACAGCAGCACCACCGCCAGCCAGAAGCTGAGGCCAAGGAGGCGGAGAAGGAAGACGCTTCCGAGAGGGAGGTGAGTGGAGGCGGCCGTGGGCGCACGGGGTGGACGGAACGGTCAGTCGGCATAGGCAGCACGGTGCCTCACAAATGGGCATCGTGACCAGGGCCGACAGCAGCTCGGCAGCAACAGCCAGCCAGCTGCTCCTCGGCTTCCACACCACGAGGCCTCCGCTGGAGTCGCCAAGGGCCCGTCATTGCTGGTCCGTGGCAAGCAAGTAGCCACATGAAAAGTGGCCACCATGCCTGGCCCACTGGGCCACAGAGGGACACCCCTGCTGAGGCGTGGGATTAAGGGTCACCAGGACAGGCGGGGTCACCCGATAGCCAGCCCATCCTAAGGGGCCATGCCCCCCCGGGGGTGCCTCTGCTGGTCCTGTCTGCTGCTGGCGACAGCAGCGACCACAGGCCTCAGAGCCGGCGGTACTGGCCGATGTGACTCTTCCAGGATCACGGCCGCCACTGTGGCCACACGCCACCACCTCGAGGCACCCCTGTAGGAGCTGAGGGGCCCGCCGTGGAGGGTGGGTGCTGACCATCCTGCTTCTGGTCCCAGCAGGAGCCGGACGTGGCACGGCTGGAGCACGTGAGAGAGGAGCTGAAGAAGGCGACAGAGATGCTGGGGGCGGAGCTCCGGAGGGAGGGCTGAGCCGGCCCTGCCCTCCTCCCCTACACTATGGCTTAGTACTGTTGATCCCCGGTGCCCCCACTCACCTGGCACCCCACTCTACTCCCTTTCCTGGCGGGAGCGGGAGGAGAGAGCACCTGGGAACGGCTGCGGCGCAAGGTCTGAGTCGCAAGGGCCGAGGGGCTGGGCTCACCCCACTCAGGAACACCCCGACACCCCTGGCACCCACTCCCCCCTCCAGGTGAATAAAGCACACAGAAAACCGCCAGGGCTGACCGTGCAGCGCTTGGCGGCAGCAGGCCCAGGGGACCTGGGAGGGCTGCGGAGGCGACTCGGCCTCGACTCTGGTGGTTGTACTGGGAGTTTATTAAACCGGAAATTCTATTAACAAGGGAAGTCAGAAGGGGTCGTCAGGGAGAGGTTTTGCAGCTGGGGTGGGAGGTGTCTGGTTTTGGCTCTGGCCACTGTGGACCACGATGTCGTCGTATTCTTCCTGGGGGCAGAGGGGCCAGGCAGAGGGGCTGAGGGGGGCAGCCTGGCCGGCTGCCCAACTTCCTCCCCACCCTGAGCTGGGTCTTCCCCGCTCCTGCGTCTCCGATCTCCCTTTCCAGGCCTTACCCACACTGTGTTCTCACCCCTGCAGCGGAGCTCTGGCTCCCGGCCACCCCCATCCTTCCGCAGCCCCGGGACACCCTCCTCCAGCCCTCACCTGCTGCCTTGACCCCAATTCCTCAACCCTTACCACTCCGCCTCGTCCCGGCCCAAGGCCTCTGCTGTCTGTTCACCAGCAAAGCCTGCTGGCTGCTAGCTGAGGCCTCGCCGCAGCGCTGCCCGGGTGCCAGTGCCCGCGTGAGTCTCGCCTCTGCCGCGGCCTCTGTCCTCCCTGCCCCACTGCCCGGGGCCGCCCTGACCGCTGCCCAGTCCCCCGACCCAGCACTCAGTGTACTACCAGGTTTCACTTCTCCCCTTCCCCACCTGCCCGTTCACCCTGACCCCCCGGCTGGAGCCCCCCGTCTTTCCTCCTGACTCACGCCCTCGTCCCCGCTGTCACTGTCGCTACTGCTGGTGCAGGGAGCAGACTTGTCTTCCTCGTCCTCAGGCTCAGGGGCTCCGTGCGCACGGAGGAGGCAGGCGAGGGCGGGGTTGGGCCTGAGCGTGGCGCTGCCCAGAGGTGTGCGGCCGCCGTACATGCGGGCCGCAGGGTCGGCACCCGCCCGCAGGAGAAGCTCCAGCACATCAGCCGCTTGGGCCTCTACTGCCAAATGCAGGGGGCTGCGACCACACGTGGGCTCCTGCGGGGTGCAGCAGAGAGGTGAGAGGAGGCCCCACCGGGGGCCCACCCCACCCACCCCGCGTTCTCCCTAGGGTGGCTCACCGGTTTGTTAAGGTCCGCCCCGGCCTCCCGGAGTAGCTGGACCATCTCTGCGTCTTTGTGGATGATGGCCACGTGGAGTGGGGTGTGGCCTGGGGATGGAAAGGCGGGTGTCAGCCCCTGGGGTGAGGGGCCTGGCCCCCAGGCATTGAGGGAGGGCTTTGTGGCCTCAGCGTTACTGCTTGGGGTCGGCTGCTGAGTTTCTGGGGGTGGTGAAGAGGTCTCTGCACTTGCAAATGTCTGTCTCAGGTGGTCTGCACCTGGGCGCCAGCGCCTGGGGAGTGGGATGTCTGAGGTCCCGTGAGGCTGAGTCTGGGGTCTCTGAACAGGAGGCCAGGCTCTTGGGGCCAGGAGACCTGAGCCTCTGCTCTTACTTCACGAAGGACCTGAGTCCCAAATTCCTGGGTCTTGAATAGTGGGCTCCAGGGGGCGCCGAACACCAGGTCCTGGGAGGTCTCAGTCCCTGTGTGGAGGCATCTATCTGGTCCAGGCAGTTGGGCTTAGAGATGAGTGTGCTGGGACTCAAATACCAGGGACAGGATAGACGGGGTCTTTCTCCCACAACTCAGGTGGTCCCTAAACCCCAAAGTTATCTCGGGCATCTGGCTTGCCAGAGGTCACAGAGGGCCTGCTCCAGGGGGTCCCCCATGCCGGATAGGCTGGGAGCTTTGGTTTGCAGGGCAGGCTGAGCACCACCGCGTGTTGGCCTTCTGGTTGGGGTCAGAGCCCAAGATCCGGGTCTTAGTAGCACAAGGCCTGCAGGTGACAGGTCTGGGTCCCAAATGGTCTGGAGCTCCCAGGTGGGGTGCGGGTATCAGATCTGGGGTCTGGTGGAATTCCTTGGCACCTGCACCTAGTCCGAGAACTCGCAGGATTATTTCAAGGGCAGCTTCTTGAGTCTGGGGCACTAAGCCCTGAGCCAGGTGCTGACAGCTGCCCGGAAGCCCAGCCCCCGGCCCCCTCCCATTCACCGGACCCTTACCCTCGTAGTTTTCAGCCTCCAGCTGCAGTTTCCAGTCCTCCTCACTCTCACTCTCACCGTCTTCCTTCTCCAAGTCAGAGTATGAGGCAATAGAGGTGTGTTCAGTGTCAGGGACAGAGTCGGTGTCAGGGGTTTGGCCAGAGCTCAGAGAGAGGTAGGTGCTGGGGGGTCCCCTAGGCCCCCGGGGGCGGGGCTGGAGCAGCACGTTAGCACAGGCGTGCGCCCCCATGCGGCAGGCCAGGTGCAGCGCCGTGTGGCCGCCGCGCTCCGCCACCTGCAAACCAGCGCCAGCAGCGTACAACTTCTCCACAGCGGATGCCTCCCCCAGGATGGCGGCCAGGTGCAGTGCTGTCTGCGGGAGCAGAGGGCAGCGGTTAGGGGCAGCATGGGAACCCTGGCCCTACGTCCTACACTCTCCCAGGTACAGCTCACCTGGCCCAGGTCATTCTGCAAGTCCAGGTACTCAGTGCCCGCAGCGAAGCCTAGGAGGAAATCCAGGAAGGGCTCGTGCTGATGAATCACGGCCAAGTGCAGAGCTCTGTGGAGAAAGGCAGGGTCAGAGGGCAGAAGTCCTTCATTCTTTCAGCCAGCCTGGAGCAGCGACGGCGTGTGAGGCATTCTGACCAGTTCTGAAACTAGCTGCCTGGCCCGGGAAGGGTCAGGTCAGAGTTAATCCTGCCAGTTTGCTTACTCGGTGTTTAATGAGTGGGACTTCCAGGTCCTCCTAAGATGAAGTAGTATGAAGCAATTTCCATCCCATGTGAATCAACCAAAACCAACCAGACATGAAAAGGGCACAAAAGAGTCTGCAAGACACAGCCCCGCAGGGCCGGCCCCTCGGGACACGGGAGACAGGCACAACCACGCTGTAGGGCTTCTCCCCACTGTGCCAGCCGGGCTGGCAGATGGTGAGGAGATGGAGCTGAGTCTCAGAACTGCAGAGCAGAGTGTGGAGAGCCCCGATGATCTGAGCGGAACTGCTTGCTTACTGGATTTTCTTTGAGGTCATGTGGGAGTTGAATTCAGACACATTCCTGAGAGAGGGTGTGTAAGCGTCAAGGTGGGGGAAATACAAGACTAATGCAGGCAGAACTGCCTCCTACAGGGGCTTGGGGGTGGGCAAGAAACACGCAAAATGCAAGGGTGCCGGCCTGCGAGTGCCGTGGAGCCGAGACTCCAGCGCCGACCTGCTCTGCAGAGGGGCTGGCACTATCTTCCCGGGGTGCTGGTTTGTATAGGGTGGTGCGTGCAGCTGTAAATCCAGGTCACCAAGCAGTAACCTGGGAGGGGTGGACTCTCCTAACGACCTTCGACTCCATTCTGGACATTCCCTTTATCGACTTTAAGTTTAGGTCTTCTCAGCTAGCTCCAGTCTAGGAAACCACGCAAACTTGGGGAAAAGAGCGTCTAAAAGGATTAGACATGTGTCTATTGCTCATACAGGGCCAGGAATAGTACCTGTTCCCACCAAGCAGACTAGGAAAAACCTGTAATTTCAAGACTTGGTGTAGAATATTCTGGAAGGTCAGCATTGGGGGTGGGGGGGAGGGTAATGTGCCCTAAACAGAGCACTCAGGACTCATCAAACAAATCATAAAAGCAAAATCCTAAAGGATCAAACTACTTGCCACTTAACTGCGCCCCAGAACAATACTCAAGGATACCTTACCCAACCCACCAAGGTAAAATTCACAATGCCAGGCCCTTAATCCAAGATATCAGGGGCAGGCAAAGAAGCAGGAAGACAGGTTCCATGATGAGAAGAATTAATCACGTGAAACAGATTCAGAGATGATCCAAAAGTTAGAATTCAGATAAGTGCATTAAAATTATTCATTTTAATTATATTGCACACATTCAAAAAGTTAAGAAGAGACAAGGATGATAAAAGAAAGAATCAAATTGAACTCCTTAAAGATAACAACAACAGGGCCCTCCCTGGTGGGGGAACGGGTACCCCAATTGTGTATGCATAAATAAATTTAAAAAAATAAGATAACAACCACAGTGTCTAGAATGAAAAATATAATGTAGTGGGTGGGCCTCACAACATATTATACATTATAGAAGAAAGATGAATGAAAATGAATACTTCACAATAGAAATTCTCCAGAATGCAGCAGTGTACTTTGTCAATCTGTCTGTCCTGCTTCCCACTCTGTCTCTGATAAATCCTCTCACCGCCCCTTCACCTCTGGCCTGTACCCCAGTTCTGTATAAATAAAGAAGGAAAGAAAGAAATTTTTTGAGAATGAAATGCTCCAAAATGGAACACAGAAGTTTTTCAATTAAAAAAGATCCAAGAGATGGCCCTCCCTGGTGGCGCAGCAGGTTAAAGCACTGCACTAAGAAGCTAAAGCCACTTCCGCATGAGTTCGATTCCCGCCTGCCCCGGAGGAGATCCACATGGCGCAGCAGACCTCTCCAGACCTCTCCAGACCCGCCCGCTGCTCCCCTCAGCAGTGTACTTCGTCGATCTGCCTGTTCTGCTCCCCGCTCTGTCTCTGGTGAATCCTCTCACCCTCCACATCTCTGGCCTGTACCCCAGTTCTGTATGAATAAATAAATAAATCTTTAAAAAAAAAAGATCCAAGAGAGCCTCTCTGGTAGTGCAAGGAGTTAAAGTTAAGTCTCAGTACTATGAAGCTATCAGCAGCCACTGCAGCACCAAGTTCAATCCCCGGCCAGGAAGCTGACCCACACAGCACAGCAGACCTCTCCTGTCTCCCCGCTGCTCCCCTCATCAGTGCATTTCAGTAGATCTGCCTATTCTGCTCCCTACTCTGTCTCTGATGAACCCTCTCACACCCTGAACTTCTAGCCTACACCCCAGTTATTCTACACAAGGAAAACTAATAATAATATCAAGATAGATTTCAGAGCAAAGACCATTGCCAGGGATAGAGACGTTA